CACTTCCACCCCTGACCTATAGATGTTGCCATTTTCCTCTTAAGAACTAGATCTCTGAAAGCAGAGCATCTCCCCCCACGTGCTCGCAGTGTGCACCCGGGGCCCGTCCGGTGCACCCGGGGTATGGTCCATGGCTCCATCTGGGGCACGAACCCAGGACCTTCTGCATACAAAGCAGACGTGCTAACCACTACACTATGGAGCCACCCCCCAACATTCATTTCTTAAACTGGATAAAGAGCAATACATTTATGACAAATTTCATTTGTAAACTTAGAATTTGAAGTTAAAGACCTTTTATTACTAGGAATTTGATGTGAAAAAAAAAAAAAACAAAAAGGAAAAACAATCTCCAAACCACTGTTATAGAACAGGAACACAAAAATGTTATATACTTAATCCTCCCAATCCCCATTCTGCCTCTTCACGACTTATAACAGTGACTGATTTCTTCAAACACAGAATGAAAAATCTGCCTCAGATTTCACTTAAGGCAAGTCGCTGGATGTGGCCCTAGAATAGGCCCTGGTCCTAGCCACTCCATTGAACCTGACAACAACTCTGGCTTGGGACCTCATTTCTTCATCTCTCAAAGCCTCCTCATAATGGACAGGAAAGGCATCGGGGGTGGTATCATTCATATTGGCCAAAATCTCTAGGACTTTCATTTTGCTGGTTTCAGCATGGGCCCGGGGGCCCCACAGGAACTCGTACTGAGCAGGATCACTGTTAGGTACCTGTCGGTACTCCAGATACTGTTCCTGCACCCAAACACTGGTGATGAGCTCCCTTGGCTCCCCATAGATAAAATGCTCCCTCCCATCATACACCCCCATAATTCTCAGCACTTCCCAGATGTGCTCCTCAGAGGAGCGGTTGCCATCCATGAAGATCACACCCAGAATATGTATCAAGAGGCCAGCCTTGGGTATGCTCTGCTCATCCCTCAACATCTCATTGTAGGTGAGGCCCAAGGTGTTGACCAGGACATAGGAGTGGTTGCTAGGGTCCACTTCCTTCACATCAATGCCAAAGACCAGCTGCATGCACTCAGAGGCTTGGCTAAAGATCTTAGGAAAGTGATCTTGGTACTCTTTGATGACACTACTCAGCATTTCTGCCTTTGTGATTGGCTCCTTTGCTCTATACTTGAGGAGCAGGAAATTCACCAAAATAGACACCTTATGATATATGGCATCTATAAGCAAGGGCCCAGTGTCTGACAGGGCCTGCGAAGTGCTTGGATCCTCCTCTTTCTGGCTGCTGGAGCCCTGATGTGATTTGATTGATGGAGTGACTATCACGACACTGGGAGAGACGCAGACTCTCTCAGGACTCTGCAGGGGACTTGATCCCCCAGCAGCAGCAGAAAGTACCTTTATGATGCTTGAGATCGGATAATAGGAGCGGGACAAAGAGGAGGAGGAGGAGGAAGAGAAAGAAGAGGGGGAGGAGGAGAAAGAAGAGGAGGAGGAAGAGGAAGAGGTAGAAGAGGAAGAGGAGGTGGAGGATGAGCAGGAGCAAGAAGAACAGGAGCAGGAGGAACAGGAGCAGGAGGAGCAGGAGCAAGAGGAAGAGGAGGAAGAGGAAGAGCAGGAGCAGGAGGAAGAAGAGGAGGAGGAGGAGGGAGAGGAGGAGCAGCTGGAGGACGGTAAGGAAGTATCCTCTTCCTCAGCCTCAGGAACCTCTGCACGCGCATGCTCCTGTTCCTCCCTTTGGGACTGAAGGCCTTCCTCAATCGTGTAGCGTCGTCGCTTCGGAGCTCGATGCATGATGACCCGTGTCAGACAGCCACAGGTATGTGGACAAGAGGTAGGTGATGGAGATACACGAGCCTAGGGGAGAGGCAATGTGAGTGGTCTCAGCTGAGAAAAGCACTCTAGGTGTTTCTGACAAAGGCGACTTACACGTCTCCTCTTTAGCGGTGCTCTTGGGCCTCGTAGGGGTCTCTTCTCCTGGGAGGTCTGTCCCCTAAGATCTTGAATGAAGAAGTAAGACAGCTCCTCAGAATGCAGACAGTATTCCCAAGGTTGTGAGGTGGGGTTGGGTACTGTGGGGCCCACTGTGTTTTGGGATGGGGGAGCCCTGGGTACACATTCGGGGCATGTGCCTCACCTTGACTGCTGGCACTGCCTGGGCCTCCTCTGCTCTGTGACCTGTGGACACGTGCCTCAGACCAAGGCCTTCACCTTCCAGTTCCTGGAGCCCCTGTAAGAGGAAACGAGGTGGCACCTCAGGGTACAGAATACAAACACAGCCCTGAGTCCCCAGTGCTGACCGGAGCAATGGGCCGGACTCTGTGAGGTCCCCTCCATACTCACTTAGGGTCCTCACTTTATTTCTGGAAGGGCATGGCTTCCATTCCTCTGTTGGCCTGAGGCAAAACTCTCAGAACTAGAGCACACGGTCCTGAGACTAAACAGAAGGAAGTGAGGGGGCCCTAGACCTAGCCAAACTTGTACAGGCCCTCCCCAGGGAACAGCAAGAAATGACCAAACTCTGTGGGATCATATGGTCTGAGGATGTGGAGTCTACTCAGTCCTCACCTTGATGCCTGGCAGGGCTTCCCTCTCTTTACCTGAGGACACCCTCCTTAACCAAAGATCTCACCTTTATGTGAGACCAAAGATGGAAATGAGGGGACACCTAATGCAGCCACACCACTTCAAGTTCTTTCAGGGCTGACAAAAGGGTCAGGGAGGGCTGGGGTTTTGTACATTCTCCTGGGGGTTCACACAGTCTTCTCTCACAGTACTCATCATGATTCCTCAAAAGACCTGGGCCTCCTCCTTCTGCCTCCCTTAGTACAGCCCTCTGTACTTAAACTTCACCTTCTTCGAAGCCCAAGCAGGAATTCAGGAAATAGCACATTCGCAACCCCTTTCCCACTCCCACCTGCAGCCACCCAGGGTTAACAGCAGGAGAGTGTTTCTGTGGAATCCCCTTTGTTCTGGGGTCCAGGGTTCCATCGTCCTCCCTCTGCATTCTCACCTTGACTCCCAGCAAGATCTGGGCCCTCCTTCTGCTGACCTGAGGCCCTCTTCTCATTCCAAAACCCCAGTCTCTCTCAGACCAGGATGCAGATGTCAGGAAATGCCTGTGAGGCCATCCTACCCTGTGGGCCTCCCAGGCTGACTCTGCTCTGGGGTCCAGGTTCCCTCCATCATCCTTTTCTATCTTGGCATAACATGAGGTCCTGTTCCTTATACCAAGTCCCCTGTCTCCCTCAGACCCGGGTGTGGAAGTCAGGAAACTCCGTGTGTGGTCTTCCTGCCCTAGGACCTCCTGTGACTGAAAGGAGGGGTAGGGTTTGGTGGGGCCCTCTCTGCTGTAGGGTCCAGGGTCCCCTGAGTCCTGCCCAGCGGTCCTCACCTTGACTCTGGCTGATCTTGGGCCTTCCCTCTGCCACCGACACGAAGTCCCGCTCCTTATACCAACCCCCATAATCCCTCGGACCTGAATGCGGAAGTCAGGGTGCGCCGCGAGTGGTCATCCCCCTTTGGGGCCTCCCACTACTGACAGCAGAGGCAAGATTCGCTGGGGCCCACTCTGTTGTGGGTCCAGAGTCCCCTGAGTCCTCCCTTGGGGTCTTTATCTTGACTCTGGCTGGTCCTGGGCCTTCTCTCTGCGGACTCGAGGACTCGAGGTCCTCCTGTTTTACCAACTCCCTCAGAATCCCTTGGACCTGAATGCGGAAGTCAGGGCGCGCTGCGTGTAGTCATCTAACCCTGGGGCCTGTCAAGCCTGATTCTGTTCTGGGGTCCAGGGTCCCACTGTCTTTCATCATGGTCCTCACCTTGAGCTCTGTCAGGTCCAGGTCCTGGTAACCTCCCTCTGTTGACACGAGGTGGGGCCCCCCAGACCAAGGATCTCACTGCCGTGATTCCTCTCTGGGAAGTTTGTAAACGTCACATCCGTCACATCCGGTTGCTAAGCCCAGCAATTCCCAAGGCTGACGGGAAGGGCAGAGTTGGGTTCCGGGGTGGGGGACCCAACATACAACGTACTGGTCTCTACATTAACCCAGAAGAACCTGGGTCCCCAGCTGTCTGTGGACCTGAGTCTGCACCCCTCAGACCAAGGCTCTGACTCAAGGAGGTGGGGGCAGAGGGAGGGATACAGTTTCCTACATGCAAATATCAAATCCAGCTTCCGGAAAGTAAATACCAGCATCATTCACCCTACACTGTTAAAATCTAAGTCTAGGTACTATACCTACTGAGGTGAACATGATGCTCTGGGTTTGAAACAAGACTAAGGTAACCAGTTGAGCAAATCTAGTCACTGAAGACAGCCGGAAGGCAGTGATTTCAACCTTGAAAACTGAAAACTGGGGAGAACTACATGGGCAGTGGGAGAAGGAAGTGACATGGAAATTTTTCCTGGTAGTGCCAAAAAGTGAGTGGTTTTCAAGATGCATAAGAGCAACTTGTAGGAAGGAAGTAGGATGATTCACATCTTCACAGAGACAGCTACATTACTTTGGAGGGATTTTAGGTAAAAATTAGGTAATGGTAAAGGGTAAGAGCGATATGAACCACTGAAATGTGTGGCCTTGGGGAAAGCTTTGGAGGAAACACCATCTCCCTGCTATGTTACCTGCCAAAATTGAATATGGAGTCAATCAGTTTGAGAAGGCTCTTTAGGGTTGGTAAAGAAATGATCCCTTTCTCCTACCAAAGTATCATGGCTTCCTCACATCCTCCCCCATGGAGTTGTCAGGATGGTGTTTTATGATGTCTAAACTTCTCTCCAGGGCTACCATTGGGTGGAGGAGAGTCTTGCTGACCAAACAAAGCCTAAGCATCCGGCCCCTTATTGCTATAGAAAGAAACATATATTCAGAAGGCCTAGGGTAGACCCTTGGGAAATTTTGACATGGTGAAGGTGATCAGGAAACCACAAACTTCTAGTACAGTTATGGAACAACAAACTCCAAGCACCAAAAGGAAGAAGAGGAAGATGCCCTGTCAACCCAGATCGAGAGGCAATGGCAACGATTAGAGGATCACACCCAAGTTCCTCCTCCTTTTTTTCAGTGACACGCCCCAATACTCCCTATTTTTGCCTGGAAGACCACCTCCCCAGCCTTCACCTTTTCTCATGAAAACCTTTGTTCCCATCCATCCCCCACCATTCCCCCGCCTCAAAAAAAAAAAAAAAAAAAAACAATGTTCTGTGCTCACCCTCTTGTCCTTCCCAGTGCCCAAGACAACCATGAGAGTAAAAACACACCTTCAAGGGAATTTAAAAAAATCTTCTCCAAAAACTCCTACACCTTCAAGAAAACCTATGAAAGCTAGAAGGCCAACACCATGCAGCCATTATCACAGGCCGAATGAGGAGCTGGATCAAAATGAGCCAGAACAGGACCAAGAGAATGTGGAAAAATCCGCCATCTCAAGTGATGACCTGGGCAGCCAGTAACTTCAGAGCAAGGTCAAAGACCTCAGATCTATCTGCGAAGTCTCTGAAATCTGGCCCCTGAGAAATGGCCAGTGGTGTGGAGGCCAAATCATACACCTACAGGGTACACCAATAGTGATGATTAACTTACAAAAATTCTTTAAAATAAAATTTGCGAAAAGATGTGTGTGTATTCGTGAGTTCTTTGAATGTGGAGGAAGGCAAGAAGCAGGTGTATGAGAAAGGAAGAAGGTGGGGTCATGCAGGGTTGGGAGTTGAAGGGCAGATAAAAATCTTCCCAGACAACAATAAACTAAAGGAATATATCAACACCAAGCCCATATTACAGGAAATGTTGGAGGGACGTTTAAAATGAAGAATGGCAATAACTACATTCCTATCAACAAGTACATCAAACAGAAAAGAATTAAGTGCTCCAACCAAAAGATAGAATGGCTGAATAGATGAGAAAACAAGACCCCTATTTATGCTGCCTGCAAGAGACTCATGTCAGATTAAAAGACACACACAGAGAAAAAGTAAGGGGATGGAAAAAGATATTGCCTTGATAGACCTAGAAGGTATTGTACTGAATGAAATGGATCGCATAGAAAAATACAAATATCACATGATTTCACGTACATTTGGAAGATCTAAAGAACAAAATCAACAACAACAACAAAAGTGGAAATAAACTCATAGATACAGAGAATATTTTGAGGGATACTAGACGGGAGGAGGGTTGGAGGACAAATGAAGGCAAAGAGATTAAGAAATACAAATGGATAGTTGCAGAGTTCACATGGAGATGTAGAGTGTAGCATGGGGAAGATGGTTAATAATGTCGTAATAAATATGTAAGGGGGAAGAGGGTTACTAGATCTAGTGGGGTGATCACTTTGTGAGTTATGTGGATCTCTGATGACTATGCTATACAACTGGTATATTATTGTATGCCAACTATAATTGAAAAAAACTCATTGACTTGTACAATGTAAATACAAGCAACTAATTGTCTATTATATTTCAATAAAGTTGAAAAACCTATTAGCATCTTTAAAAAATATTTCTGGAGGGAGGGAGTGTGTATGGGTGTTTAATACTGCAGAAAGGTCAAAAAAGATGAGGGAAGAAATGTGACTTGGATTAGGCAACATATTGGTCATTTGTGATCTTCACCAGAGCCATTTTAGAAGAGATATGGAGATAGAAATTTGATTAGAGAGGGCTGAGAAGAGAACATGAGGTGAGAAAGTAAACACACCACAAGAAAATAATGTTTTCAAGTAGCTTTGCTGTGAAGGGGAGTGTAAGTTGAGATGCACGAACCCCCTAAAAGGTAAGATCTGTGAGGGCAGAGTTTTTG